CTTGATCAAAAGATTCAAGAAAAATTTTCATTCTTATTTTAAAAAATGGGTAATTTTCACCAAAAAATAAAGAAAGTCTATTTATAGATGCTCCTTCAACAAAAGTTTGAGAAATGTAAGTTATTTTTTTTGGATTAAAATCAATTAACTTTTGATAACCTAGCTCTGAGGCCAATTGTTAGAAAAATGTCCAATTGTTAGAAAAATGTGAATGTTTAAACACACCCAAGAAGGGGTGAATAGGGTTTTCAAATTATTTTCAACTCTAATCAATTGTCAAAGAACTTTTCTGATAATCAAATACAAAAGAACTAGAACAGTATTAAAATCACAAGAATATCAAGATAAGGAAAAGAAAGAAAAGAACACAAGAGTTTATATTAGTTCGATTCTTTTAAATCTACATTCAGTCTAACCAAGCAACCTTAGCGTGGAGTTTTCATTAAAATTTGTTTAGTAATTCGATTACAACCTAACCTGATAATCTTGACTAAAACAACCTTTAATCAAGATCTAAACACAAATCACAACCCTTGAAAATGTTTCTCCTCACAATTTCCAAGGTAATTTGATGTAGTTCATCTCACATACATCAAAATACAATAAAAGATTCACAAAGAGAAAGACAATAACGATTTCATTTTATACTTTTAGAACACAACATTTTATAGTCAAATGACCTCTTCTTTGAGTTGATCTTTAAAGTATTTTACATAATCACACACTTTTTTTATGCCCACGACATTCTTTCTAATTGTTTTAATTGTTTCTAAAATATATGATTTAATTTGAAGAAAGTTTGCATTTTTTATAGAGTAAAAATATGTTGTAACTGACTCAAATAATCAATTAGTAGGATACCTAATCGATTATTTATATGCAGTGATAGTCCGAAAGTAAATCATATAATCGATTAGATACCAACATAATCTATTATTAACACGTTATGTTAAAACAGAGATTTAGGTACATAATCGATTAAGTGACTACATAATCGATTATTAGCACGTTATGTTAAAACAGATATTTAGGTACATAATTAATTAAGTGACCACATAATCGATTATTAATGTGAGTTATGAAAACATGATTTTAAGTCTTAAGTACTTATCTAATCGATTAATACAGATTTAGTTTTAATATAATTGATTATTTTTACCTTTTTTATTTTAACAAAATTAGATTATTTGGCTTTATACAAACTACTCACACAACTACCTAACTACCTTATAAGGACATCATAAAAAATGATTTTTAAATAAACTTCCTTCTTCATTAACATAATATTTCTTCTCAAATAAAATATTTTCATGATATTTTGTCTACATACAATATTTATATACACAAATTTGAGATCAAATATTGAGATATACTTTTCTTTATATATAATATCATTGTACATATTATATATATATATATATATATATATATATATATATTAATTATAAAATATTTTACTTTCTACTAACCTAATTAAATATAAAGGTTAACAAAGTTTTGAAACTTTTATATATATATATATATATATATATATATATATATATATATATATATATATATTTCAGTTTATATTTTTTTCTAACGTCACTAGTGGAAAATTACTCAAAAAATAATCAAATTAATATTCAAAATCTTAAGTAATAATATTAAGAAAATTAAGATATTCACAATATTAAAATTAAGTTTGAATAATGAAATTTGTATGTGCACTTATTTTTTAGTTTATTTTTTATAACTCATAATTTTTAAAATTTTATTTTTAAGTGTTTTTATTTTCAACCTTAAACATAATACAAACAAATAATTTAAAATAAAACATGAACACTTCATGAAATAGGTAAGAAATGACAATATGTCTGTTTAAATATGTGATTGTGTTGAAATACATGAAATAGGATAAACAAAAAAAACGAATTTATGATTTTTTTTTCAAGTTTAAGATTTATATGATTGAAAATTATAATTAATTGGATTTTGATAATAGGTGTTATAAATTTGTTAAAAACTTATTAACTTTATATCATCATTATTTAATTAATAGTGGCAAAAACTTATTTAAATTGTTGTAAGTTATTGTTTGAAAGTTTATCCTATTGATAAGTTAATAAGTGAGGAAAAAACTAATATTTACACTTATATTTTCGAATAAGAGAATCCCACAAATATTAAGTTGGTCAAAATAAATTATTTTGAAAATATTATATGTTATTATATGAGAATCCCACACAATATATGTTATTATATAATTTTATTATACATTTTATTTCTTTTAGATTTAATTTTAAATTAAACGACTTTAAATTTTCCAGTTATATATACAGTTGGAGAGAAGTTTTAAAATATTTATAATTTTATTTAAATTAATTTATATTTAAAAAATGTTTTTATCAATGGTACATTCATTTTTATTTAAATTCTATTATCAGTTTTAATAAATAAATTAAGAACATAGATATTTAATTAATTATTTTTTAGATTTCTATAATTAAAAAATAATATTATCAGATCTTGAGCAATAAACTTATTTAATTAATTACATTATTTCAAAATTATTTTTTACTATATAAATCCATAATAACACAAAATCAATTATTTTCTATCTCTCTCTCTCAAAATATTTCTGAAAAAACAAATTGATAAAGTTATTTGATTTTATAAAATATAATAATCAACTAACTAAATTATGTATAAGTCTTTCTATAAATAATATTATTAAAATATTATTGAGTCATCTATTTTGTAGGATGCAAAAAATTCAGCTTTTGATTGAATTATGATATCTATGCAATCTTCCTAAAAAAAATAATAAACTTACAATATTTATACCTAAAAAACTTTTTGGGAATCAAATTTTTGAATGTTAACAATGTTCTAGTTTCAAAATTTAAATATGAAAATCAAGATAACATGATTTTTTCTTAAACATGTTAATAGTTAAAATATTGAAAAGAAGATACACAATAATAAATTTGAAGAAAGAAAAAACAATTTTTGATAATAATTTTAACTTTATAATTTACATTTTTCTCACTACAGTTTTTAAGATAAAAAAATTAAATTATTTAAAAAGTATATTTTTCATGTTTTTTTATTTACTCTATTTCATATATAACTTGTAACAAATGTTTTAAATAATATTACTTTTAGATTTTTTTTAAATAATATTTGTAAGTCATTATTCGTTAAACAAGAGTTTCTAAATATTGTAGTTGTTTGTTAGGTAATCCAAATTTGATTCTAAGTCTCATATTTTGTAAGAACGAGGAAGTTGAACAACATATAAAGAAGAATGACTCATAACCCAAAGTCTTAAGTTTTTGAGTTGAGAGTTATCAATTTTTACGTAGGTTGAGCTCATATCTCATTGATGTGTGTCTCCCTTATGAATTTCCCTCGAAAGACCCAACAACAAGTGGTATCAGAGTCGAGCCGAGTGGATTAAAGTGGTTTCTGTATCGAAAGACTTTCTGACATAGTAGATCAAATAAGCGTGTCTCATTAGGATGAACGACTGTACATGGAAGGACCCCATCAGTGTGCTTGAGGGAGATGTACCAATGTGGAGGAATTCACATTTGAGAGGGAGATTGTCAGGAATCCAAGTGTGGTTCTAAATCTCATATTGAATAAGAATAAGAAAGTTAAGCAACATATAATGAAGTATGACTCAGAAGGACCGCACTAGTGTGCTTGAGGGAGATGTACCAATGTGAAGGAATTCACACTTTAGGAGAAGATTGTTAGGAATCCGTGTGATTATGACCCATAACCCAATATCTTAAGGTTTTTGGTTGAGAGTGATGACAATTCTTATGTAAATCTCCTTCTCAAGTTTCATTGATGTTGTTCTCGCCAGTAAATCTCCCTCGAAAGACCCAACAACAAGTTTAAATTTTTGTTATATTAATATATTTTAGAAGTTTTATTTTAAATTTATCAAGTATCTAGTTAATTCTTTTTTTCTCAAATATTTCAATGTATATAACTTTCTCAATTCCTTTTATGTTTTTTTTTTCCTTTGTGGATCAAATGAGACAAAGCCCAAGACAGGAAAATGTTTTTTATTTTTATTTTTAATTTATTTATTTCAATTTATCCTTTCAGATTATTTCTTAGTTAAATTTTAATATTTAAAATGTCTAATTTTGAAAATAAAATTATATTTATCATAAACAAGTAGAAACATAGGTAACGGATGTGTATAATTATTTTATTATTGTAAACCATAATAATTAAATTATAAAATTTCAATTATTATAATTATTATTACAATATAAAGCATCATAAATAACTATAAATATAAATCATAATATATATATATATATATATATATATATAATTATTAGTATAAATTTAATTATATAAAATATTTATGTATCGTAAATTTGAGTAAAAAAAAGTATCCATCTAAAATACTGACATCTCAATAATGGTTATTTCAGTTAAAATATGAATACTTATTATAAATAATATATAAACAACAAAAATTTAATTTTACTTTTAAAATTTTTATTTACTTATGACTAGTATTGATGTTTAAATATTGATTAAATCTTCAATAAAATTAAAAAAATATTTCAAATATATTTTAAATATAAACAAAAGTAAATATTAAATATATTTTTTTATATTTGGTGAGCAGTGACAGGTTCTAACTTCAAATTTAACCGCACTGAAATATGACTGCATCAAACAAAAAGAGAGGGAAACACACTGTGCGCCATTGAAATTAAAGAAAAAGGAAAATTGAAAACAAAAAGGGAATCCAAGAAACATAATCACGCAATGGGAGCGTGCGAAATGTAGCAATGGCAATTGAGTTTCCTCAAATTTGTCTGAAAATCCCAAAATGCACAGCGGGAACCAAACCCACCCCAAAAATTTCAAACTAACCTAACGCAATTGCATTAATGCACAGTTAATTTCACCCTCTTTTTCTTCTTCTTAAAGACCCCCTTCATTCACCTTCTTCTTTGTTTCTCTTCTGATTCTAACCTCCAATGGCAACAGCCTCAGAGAACCACATGACTAACCCCACGCGCCCCCAACGCGAGGCCAAGAAGAGAGCCGCAGCTGCCATATGCCAACTTCACGGAAACTCCAAGAAGAAACGCGTAGTTTTGGGAGACCTCACTAATGTCTCAAATGCGGTTGCCGTTTCGGAGATTCAGAAACGGAAAAGAATCAAACTCGATAAACCGGCTGCTTCAGTTGCCACACCGGAGAAAGTGGATGAGAGAAGCGACCCGCAACTTTGTGGACCCTATGTTTCGGATATATACGAGTACCTTCGCGGAATGGAGGTACTAGGGTTTTATTTTTTTGTTGTTGCCATTTTTAGTGTTTTTTATTATTAAAACCCTTGTCGTTTTGGGCATGGTGTGAGGTTTTATTTTACTCTGGCTCAGGTTGTTCCCAGTAAGAGACCGTCACCGGATTATGTTCAGAAGGTTCAGAAGGATGTGAATGCTAACATGCGCGGGGTTCTGGTGGATTGGTTGGTTGAGGTTGCCGAAGAGTATAAACTGGTTTCCGACACGTTGTACTTTTGTGTGGCTTATATAGATAGGTTTTTGTCCTTGAATGTATTGTCCAGGCAGAAATTGCAATTGCTTGGGGTTGCTTCTATGCTTATAGCTTCGTGAGTTTTTCTACTGGATGAAAGTTTGGTTTTTATTGCATTGTGTGTTGATTGTTTAATTAATTTTGTTTTTATTGTTTTTACTAATAGGAAGTATGAGGAGATTAAGCCACCTGAGGTGGAGGATTTTTGTTACATCACGGATAATACATACTCTAAGGAAGAGGTGGTTCTTTCTGTTTCATTTGTTGCTGGTATTACTGCATGTTTTGGCTTTGGATTGCTGATCTTTTTTTTTTTTTGGTGAAGGTTGTGAATATGGAAGCCGATGTATTGAAGGCTTTGAAGTTTGAATTGGGTGGTCCTACAGTGAAGACATTCTTGAGGTGTGTTTTACTTTGTTCATCATATGACCTTGTTGCATTGGTTTGTCTTGGTTTTGTTCTTTTGTCCTGACGCGCTGGTTCACTCTTTGCGTTGCCATGGTTGCAGGAGATTTTGTAGAGTTGGTCAAGAGGGCATTGATGTAAGTTAACTCTTCTTTTTACCCATTTGTTAAAGTGTATTCATAAGCTTGGAAGTGGTTTTATTAGAAGCAATTAAATCTATATTTGATGAATTGCCATGAAAAGACTCGGTAGTTCAATTCAGTAGAATTTTGAATCGTATCTTAGATTTTATCTCCAACGTACGTAGAAGTGCTAATAACGGCTACAGTGGGCTATAGAAGCTATTTGTTGTGGAAGTTTCTTGTATTTGTGATTATGGCTCCGTTCGCTATTGCGCGGCAATGGTAGCACAACACGTTCTTCATTCTCTTGGCATTTCTAGCGAAACAATTGAACTTTTTAGTTAATATAACATCTATTTTATGCATTTATATTTTTATTTGTACAATTTGTCTTTTTTACACCTAATAATTGATTTCTAATATATTTATGATTTAAATTTCAGACTTATGTAATATATAATTCAACCACCTAAAGATTCATATGGTAATATCAAATAACTTTGTATCTTGTAATAGTTTTATACAAATTATAATCGACTATTAAAAGATTAGCTTTACAATTCATTGTTTGGATCTTGATTTGGTAACCTGATTTTAAACTGCTGTAGATGACTTTCGATATTTGCCTGTGATACTCTCTCCTGTAGGATATTGCAAATTATTGATATCCATTATTTGCTGTAATCTACAATTGATAACTCTCACACAGACACATTCTAATTTGTTGTATGAAAAATGTGGACTTCCATCTACTGTTATTAAAACAGAACAGACCTGTCTAACTATAGACTGGAGTTATAGCTGGTCCGGTTGACTATGTGGATTCCTTATATTGTTGGTACATTAAAAACGAATTAACCCAGTGTTAAACCGGTAGCATTTGTTATTTCACTTGACCGGTCTGCTTGTATTTTACGACAGCAACAGACATTTTCTGCACTACTTCCAATATGAAACATCTCATGCAATGCACCTGTGCTGTCTTGGTTCTTGAGTGTCATTTTTGCTGTGACAAACAGCCTACTACTAAACTTAGGCTTGCATCAATATGCAACTGCTGCCACTCTATTTTAATTTTTATAATTTGATTTTGTTAAAACAGTCACTATTTTAATTTTATTTTGTTAAAACATTAAACCAGAACTGTCAGTTTTCTCATTGAGACGTTGATTTTTTTTTTTTTTCTCAACTAATATAACACTGTGAAAATGAGTATATAAATTTATAAATTAAATATTTATTGTTTGTGCAGTTCAATCCATAACTTACTGGATCAACATTAACCTAGTACCTCGACTAACTATGACTAGTTTGCTTCTATGACACTGCTTCCATCATTTGGCTAATAAGCTTTTCCCATTGTGCAGACTTCTGATCTCCAGTTTGAGTTCCTTAGTTGCTACCTTGCTGAGCTCAGTTTGTTGGATTATAATTGTGTAAAATTCTTGCCATCTTTGGTGGCAGCATCTGTAGTATTCTTAGCAAGATTTATGTTAAGCACAAAGACACATCCTTGGGTAATCATTTTTTAAACGTGTATTTGAAATCCAATGCTGATTGTAGAGGATATTACTAAATTGATTCTTTTGCAGAATTTGGCACTCTATCAACTCACTAGATATAGACCTGCTGACTTGAAGGAATGTGTGCTAAACATACATGATTTATACCTCAGTAGAAGGGGGCCTTCTTTGCAAGCTGTGAGAGAGAAATACAAACAGCATAAGGTGATTTGTTTTCCCTACCACATTATTTAAAGGATGTAATATTTTCCAAGTAACTATTCTATAACTTGAAATATTAATTTCATTCTACTTATCACAATGGAGAAAATATTCTGATTCCAGTTGTAATGGGTGTTTTGGTACAGTTCAAATGTGTGGCAACAACAGCGTCTCCTCCCGAGATTCCCCTTTCTTTTTTTGAATTTTCAGTTGCAGATTGTTAGGCGTTTGAGACTTGGCTATTCTTGCTTTGACATTGGTTTCAGCTGTTAGCAGAGAAGTATTTCTTAAAACTACAGAGGAAAGTTTCACTCCTTGTTGCACTTGCTCATGCTTAGGGAGGTGCATTTCGTAAATGCAGTGACAATGTATCTATGCTGGCCTCACTGACTTTGTGATCGAGCTTGTATGAAAATGTGATAACCCCATTAGTTCAGAATTAGGTTCTTTTTTGGCTATTAGTATTCTTTGTAAGAGGCCCTTGAAGGATTTGCAGTTTCTATGTATAGGAAATTTCTATACGTTTTCATTGTAGTTCCATTCTAAGATGTCCAATCCATGATATTCAGAAATCAATTTTTCATCAGCATTTCATAAGCCATTTTATGAGATTGTCTGTCTGAACAAAATGTGATAGAATATAACTGGTAATTTGTGTCTTTTAGCCTATGTTAGTTGCGCGCTATAGCAGCAGTGGGGTTGGTGGGTGGAACCGAGGCTCCTCTTTGGAGGTGGTTGTGTTCTAGATAAAGGTGTGCCCGTCCTGTAACATATATCATGCTTGTGGTTGTGCTATGAGAGATGTTACAAGAAGGTTCTTATTAAATATTAAGCTTCTAAAGGAGTAATGATGGGTCAAAAAGTGTATCTTAGTTACTTGCAGAGAATTACCTCTCCATGATTTTAACATAATAGAGAAAGAAACATCTAGAGCATGCGAAATAGCCCTTAAGGTATATAACAAAATTTCAGAGCCACATTTCAGCAATTTTTTGTCTTACCTCTATGATTTTTAAATTTTATATCTTAAAATTGATTTCTATGTTTAGCACTTTACCTTGCTTTTCATTTTGACTTGACCAGGATTGAAATCAATCAAACGTATAGAAACACATGCAAACAAAAGTGAAATATTGTAAATGAATTTCATATCTCGAAATAGGTTGGATTTGCCCAATGAAAGGGAGAGAGAAAAGTATTTAAATAAATTGAAAAAGGTGAGAGAAGAAAATGAAATTGCCTCCAATGATTGAGGTGTAATTATTTTGTTGGCTCTGATTACTTAGAGCTCTTAGTCTTACTGTCACGTGCATTTGATAGAGACAGGAAAATTTGTAGTTTATTAGGAATCTAAGATTCGGAAATATACTTTTCATGACATTTCCTAGAAACAGTGTATTTTAGGAATTCTTTTACCAAGTTTCTCACCAAAATCATTTTCATACGAGGAAATAAGGTTATCTATACTAACTATAACTCATTGTTTGAAAAATATAAATATGGATTTATTCTCTTAAGTAAGTTGTAGTTAAGTTCGTTTTAATATAATTTTGATAACAATTTTTTTATTTATTTTTTGTGTGAATTATTTGGTAAAATAATTATAAAAATATTTAAATAATTTATTATATAGCATATAATTCTTTTAATAAAAAATATTTTAAACAATTAGTTCTATACTTAAATATCTTAAAAACAATTTCCCATTATTGATGTTTTATAAATTTAACTTACATTTAAAATGAATAATTTAAATGGAAAGTGTGCAATATTATTTTTATTAAAATACATTATATATTGATACCAAAAGATTTTATAAAAATTATATAATTTTTTCTGGAATATTAATCATATAAATTTTAGTCTTTCCACTCAAAGAATCATAATTTCCAAGATTCATTATCTTCATTTATTTTATATCAAATATTTTATGTCAAATGGCGCTTATTTGTTTCCTACGATTGAGGGTGTTTCTTTTTCTACCCAATAATTTCTTTATTGAGTCATTAACTTATATTAATGAAATATGAACTAAATATGTTTTTCACCCTTTTAATTATATCAATAATTTATATTTTGGTTCTTTCAATTTTAATTTATTTTAGTGTCTTCAATTAAAAAAAAAGTTTTTAGCCTTTACTGTAGTTATTTTTGCGTTAAATCATATCCAATCTGATATTTTTTTTTCAAAAATCTTGTAATTTAAAAATTAGACGAAGATTAGATAACAATTTTATACTTTCTCTCACCACCAAACTTGTCATCAATGAATGTATTGATTGAAAAATGATCTCATATTGAGAAACAATAATTTTAGATCACCAAATATTTACTTATTCAAATTGAGTGAGATTTTCTGAACAAAATGATTGATGTTATCATGATTTACCCTTATACATGTATTTCATTCTATTCAATGTCCAACAACAAATCAATGTTCAAACTGATGTTCACATGTGGATTAATTCATATACAAATCTCTCCCATTTGTTGTAATTGAAGAATAACTGATTCGTTGGAACAAGACATAGATTTCATTTATCAGAACATGTTTTTAAATACAACTTAGCTAACAGACTAACCTAACAAACTTTTACTATCTGAACACGAAGCCATAATGAGTATATATTACAAAATTATATAATATTGTAATTTTTTAATTATGATTTTACTTTATAACCAACTTTAATATTAAGAGAGAATATATATATATATATATATATATATATATATATATATATATAATATTAAATAACTAAAAATATAAATTTTAATTATACCTTTTTTTTCATTTTAGTAAAAAAAATTATACCATTTTTCAATTACAGCAATTACGGGTTTTCAAGTTACACTTCTATTTTGAATAAATATAGAAACTTAATATCAAGTATCAAAATTTTGTCATAAGTTGTATAAATAGTAATCAATATGCCACTCATAATATCTTAAACCATCTTTCTTAGTCATACTATTTTTTATTTTCCTTCTAAACAAAATAACACGAGTATCTTTTCTTAAAAAAATGAATAAATAATATATTTTTTTTATTAAATTCAGTATAATTAACTTGTTCACTAATTCTTAATAAAAGGTTCTACCATACCATAATACACTGGGAACATAATATTTTAAAGAATAATATTTGAAGCAATAAAATTTACTATAGTCACATTTTTTTCTCTCCAATTTTTTAGATATTCAATTCAATTCTATTTCATATTTCTTTTTAAAGCAACAAAATATTGTTTAGATTTTTCTTAAATCTTCATGTGAAAAATATATAAATTAAATGTAGATATAGATATATACAAAAAGATATTTGATTGATATATACAAAAAGATATTTGATTTTTAAAATTTACAGGCATATATTAAGGGTGTAATAATAATAATCTCATATTCACATTATAGAAAATAATGTTTGATATTTGAAAAGATTGAGAAGATAAGAAGTAGCAGGAATTTGATATTTATTAAGCCTAAACCTGAAATCCAGTGAGAAAAAGAATACGGCAATTGTGTCACTGCAAAAATTTTAAACAAACAATCTTCATCTTCTATTCTTCTTCTTTCTTCTACTTTTCTTTCTCAACACTTTTCAAATTCCACTTTGCAATGACCAACGCGCGTCCTCCACGCGCGGCCAAGAGGAAAGCCGCGGCTGCAATAAGCGAGCTGCTTCGCCCCGCCAGCAAGAAGCGCGTCGCGTTGGGAGACCTCACGAACGCCGCGGCCACGTCGGAAAAACCAGTTTCGCGGATTTTCAACCGGGAAGGGCGAAAACTCGAAAAGGCAAACGCAGCGCAACCGAGTGGGCCCTACGATTCCGACATTTACGAATACCTTCGCGCGTTGGAGGTACGAGGCCGCTAGGGTTTGTGGTGTTTAAGCCAGTGTGTCGTTTTAATGATATCGTGTGTGTTTTACGTGACTCAGGTGGCTCCTAGTACGCAACCGTTGGTGGATTATGTTGAGACGGTTCAGACGGTGGTGGATGCTGATGCGAGAGGTAATGTGGTGAATTGGTTGGTGAAAGTCGCAGAGGAATGCAAGTTCCTTCCCGACACGCTTCATTCTTGTATCGCTTACATCGACAGGTTTCTCTCGTTTAATGCATGTTCAAGACAGAGGTTGCCATTGCTTGGGATGGCAGCCATGCTTGTTGCAGTGTGAGTTTCCTTATGTCTCACATTTTTTCTTAGCTATCGAGAGTTTTTTTTTTTTTTTTTTTTTATAATAAAATTAGTGAGCATGCTTGGTTAATAAAATCAATTCGAAATTTAACCTAATTTATCATATTAAAATTATTAAATAATATTAATAAAAATAATATAATAATTATTTAATTTTTATTTTGAAATATTAGATTATTAAATTATTCAAATAATAAATAATTTACCTTTTTTTTAATTATTCTAAAAAATATAAAAAATTGTATTTTAAAATTTAAAATTAATAAAAAATTATTTTTTAATAACATATAATTCAATTAATCCAACCGAGATATGCTTGGTTGAATTAGATCAAATAATGAAAAAACAAAAAATTTATTCACCCTAAACCAATCCAATATTTTTTTATTGGATTGATTGATCATCCTAGAGTATTGAGAAGGGTGATGAAAGAAAACTTATATATTGTACTGTATATTATGCATAGTTAGTTGTTTTTGTTTTTTAATAAAATTTTGAGTTTCCCTGTTATAATATGTGGTGCATTTGATTAATTTACAATTAATGAAATAAGACTCTAAATTTCATTAAAAAACCACACCAACTACACTTATAATACATTATGTAAGTTTCTTTAAAAGTATAATTCATCGTTATTTTAGTCTTTAAATATATTAAAAAGTATAAATGAAAACTAAGGAATGTCATTTTGAATATAGTACATGTTTAATTGAGAAATATTATGCAATCAGGTGTCAGTTATTAGAATAATAAATTATGCTTTTCAAGATTATAATGACCATTTATCTAAAATTGATTTTAAATGTGGCTCATATTTTAATGTTTTTTTTAAGTAAATTATTAATAAAATACAGTATATTCTTTTAATTCATCGCAAAAAAAAAACTTATAATTATTTCAATTCTATTACATGGGGACATTTTATATATAATTTTAGCTATTCTTGTTTTGTGAACAGGAAATACGAAGAGGGTAGGAAACCTGTGGTTCAGAAGGTTTATTACATTGCGGGTAACACATACTCCAAGGAGGAGGTGATTCTTGTGTGTTCAATTCTTCTTAGTGCTACTTCATGATTTGGTTTTGGGTTTTGCTGATTTTTGCAACTTTTTTTTTTTGGCAATGAAGGTTGTGAACATGGAAGCTGATATATTGAAGTCATTGAAGTATGAATTGGGAAGTCCTACAGCGTTGACATTCTTAACGTGTGTTTCTTTGTCCATTCTATGTTCATGTTGTTTCAATTTTGCTTGTTTTTCTTGGCATGTTGGCTCACTACGTATGCTTTGCCCTCGTTTGCAGGAGATTCTGCAAAGTTGGTCAAGAGGGTGTTGGTGTAAGTTAACACTTGTTTTGACCCATAAATCATCATCATTTTGGTTCTCTCTCTCTCTCCTCACTGTATAACATGATTTATATATATATATATATATGATATCTAAGTCAAATTAATTGTATGTAGGAAATATGAGAAATTTCATGGTTTGACTAATATTCTTGTCCCGTTTTGCAGGCTTATAGTAAGTTTGAGTGCCTTAGCAACTACCTTGGTGAGCTGAGTTTGTTGGAGTATAGTTGTATAAAGTTCTTGCCATCTTTGGTGGCTGCATCTGCTGTGTTTCTAGCAAGATTCATGTTAAGCACAAAGAAAAATCCTTGGGTAAAGATTTGATTTTGTTGAAATCTATATGCAATGTAATGTGGATTGCGGATGAAATTGGTAAATTATTTGTTTACAGAATTCTACTCTCCATCAACTCACTAGATACACACCCAGTGACTTGAAGGAATGTGTTCTGATCATACATGACTTGTACCTTAGCAGGAGAGCCAAATCTTTGGCAGGAATAAGAGAGAAATACAAACAAGAGAAGGTAATGTTTTGCACTCTCTGTCAAAATTTTCTTGCTTCCTACAACATATTACTCAAAGATATGTAATCTGTAATTTGAAGTGTAAATTTCATTGTACACTATGCTGATTCTAGTTGTATTTGGGTGTTTTGGTGTAGTTCAAATGCGTGGCAACTACACCATCTCCTCGCAAGATACCTACCTCTGTCTTTCTATAGAGGGATAGAATCTTGTACACAATTTTGACTTGCTTTTGCCAAAATTGATTTTCTACTAATAGAGATGAGAATTTCAGACTTGGTCCTTGTTTGCCATGAAATACAATGTTAGTTTGTAAAATAAAAAATAAATATGCTAGTTGGAACCATAACAAATGTAGCCCACATGAATTTAGCGGTTTTTCATGGGCCTTTTCACTTAGTCCGAACAGATTAGGATTGGGCCTTTACTATTTATACCTCTGAATTTATTAAGTATATAATAACATTCTCTTTATTTTTTAATATAAGAACAAGATGGTTTTATAAATGAATGAAAAAGGGAGGGAATTGTGTTTAACTATTTCCCATGGTCGAATTCGTAGATCGATGTGACTTTACGAGTATGTTTCAAACATTCATTATTTAATTTAATAAATAAGAAATATTCGTACTTTACTTTTATCCTTTTTCTTTTCGTCGTTTTCTGGATATCTCATTATGTAATGAAGCACACAAAGAAGACATTAATACACCCAAAAATAAACCATATTATTGTGGACTAATGTAGATTTTATTAAAGGGTAGTTAACTTGTTCAAAAGCAAGACAATAATTGAAACGATTTGAGAGATTCCGCCAGCGAAAAATAAAACAAACAACGATAAAAGAAAAAGTAAATAATTATAAATCACGCATTATAAATTAGAATGTTGGTTTAATTGCTTTTCTATTTTATTTAGTTATTTTATTCAATTTATTATTTTTGTTAATAAAGATTCAATTTTGTCAGTTTTAAAAATATAATAATATTATTTTTAAGGTTTAATATAAGATAAAAAGTGGTTCATCTGTATCGAGTTTGACAAAAAACAATTAAATATATAAATTTAAATTTTCTTTACTTTATAAAGATAAGGAGAGAGGTGAAAATCATTTTCTTCTTTGTTCATGTGTTTATTCTAATTTTATATTTAAAAATAAATTTTAAAATATTAATATTTTTTTAAATTTGTTTTTTCTTATATTATATAAAGTCATTTCTTTAATTTTTTATTTTTTATTTTTTTTATTTACGTAGTTTTTTTTTCAATTTTCTAATCTCTTCAACTAATTAGTTTATTACACTACTTTTTCACATTTTCTTAATCTTTTCAATTAATTTAATTTTTCTAATCTTTTTAACTAATTTGATAAATACAAAGTTTTTTTCTTTATCTATTTTTAAATATTTATATCAATTTTAGTAATACATAACATTATTTATTTATAATTTATCTTCATTAAATTTTATTATGTCATACTTTCTATATTTTATTAGTCCTATTTGTCATAAATCACATTTCATCTTAACAAAATAATTATATTTTAAAGGATTAAAAATAATTAATAATTAAAACTTTTATTATTTTGCACTAATTATATAAGAATTAACTTATTAAATATTTTTTTCTAAACTATTTTCATATTTATTAATATTTTAAAATAACAACTTAAAAAATAATTAATTTATATATATAATCAAATATTTGAATACACGGTTATAATATAATAATAATAATAATATTATAAATATTCTATATTTGAAAAAAATATTAAATATTTCTTTTACATTTACATTTTAAAATAAATATAAAAAATTAAAATATATACTTAATTAATAATTATTATAAATTTATAAATATTTATTTATGTATGAAAAATATTATATAAAAAATATATTAAATTAATTTAAAATTAATATAGAACATGGACAAGTCGTGAGTGGAAAATCTAAAATTCAATGAGAATGAGAATGAATATTTAATTTCTAATTCTAAGAGAAGATGTGTACGAACGAGATATCCAACAACAAGTAGAAGGAAAAGGATTGAATAGAAGAACTCCTGAACATTTAGCGATCTCAGATGTGTCGATATCAATAGTAACTCATTATTTCGATGAGTAATTTCTTCGGACAGAAGAAGATTATGTAAACAATTACCCCGAATCTCACTTATCAGATTCCATTGTGGAAGACACAATGGAATCTGACGAATTCGCCATAATATATCTGACCCATGCATAATATCATGAAAAATGGATACAAATTTTTGGCTGCTACTTAGTATCGGCAATAGGTCTGAAAAAGTATCTAAAAATATGAAATTTAGATATTTGTACCCCGTCGAGGTAAGGAACCATGGTATATATGTTTGGAATAGATTCCATTTTGAGAGAGTTGAAAAAACACTATCTTGTTGAAAGGTTCTATACATCTGACCTTTCTCAAGGCATTTTTGTAGACAAGAACTCCGTTTTTTCCTTTTTTCGGATGGTAAATATTTCTCAGAACATGGAGTGTGAATCCAACCCATGTTTGAATTGAAATTGAGATACTGATGCAAGTTCATCCCTTCTGAATCAGGTATATTCATATCTGAAAGAGGTAGACAATAAGTTTTTTCAAAATGGACTATTTGTCCCTCTGTTAGAGGTGTTCCAGAAATGTCGGCGATCGAGTAAATAGCTCCACGAACGAATGGATCGTATCGAATTGGAAAATGGAAAGATTTGTACAAGTTATACCCTTCGTCGCCACTTTGCGGAAAATCGTTAGGTATCAATATGTTAGATACCTGTAACTCGATTGGTGAAATAGTATCTCTCTTCAAAAAAGCATGTTTTTTTTGACCATCGCAAAAAGAAAAGATTTTGTTGGGAATGAACAAGATTTTGAGGAATTGTCCATACGTAAAATCATAATTATTGATACGGACCTTTTCCACATAAAAAGGGAATCTTTTGTTACAATAGAAGCAGAAGTGATATTGATTATTCAAGAATCGAAGTCGATTTGCTTTATAAAAATAGTATATCAATGAACTTCTATGAAATGGTTTCATGAGATTCAGCCAATTGTCTGGATCGTGAGATATCATTGAGAAATAGGAATTTGTGTTATCAAAAGATTTCCTGCGATTCTTTCTAGTATGGAATGAGTCAATCATCCACTTTGGTATCTTATTGAACAAAAATGGTGATATTGTTCCTCCATTGATCAAGAATTTTAATTTTTGGGAAGTATCTTGGTCATCCAATAATAAGGGTTTCCTTTTTTTCAAATGAAAGATTTGAAAACCTATTGATTCTAATAACTGATTCCAGATTGGATCATTCAGACCTTTCAATTCATAGATGTGGATCTCGGACCTATGAATGGGGATACCCCCAAAACTCACAAAGAAAAAAGAAGGAAGTGAGTTAGACAAAAAGAGAAGAAACTTGGGAAAAAAAAGAAGTAACTTGGACAAAAATAAACAAAGTGACTTAGAGGAATCCCTTAAATATGATTCAAAATGGATCTTATTCTATCGTTTCTCAGAGATTTCTCTATGAAAAATATGAATCGGAGTTTGAAGAAGGGGGGGAGTCCTCGACCCGCAACAGATAGAGGAGGATTTTTTCAATCACATCGTTTAGGCTCCTAGAATATGGCGCCCTTGGGGCTTTCTATTTGATTGTATTGAAAGGCCCAATGAATTGGGATTTCCCTATTGGGCCAGGTCATTTCGGGACAAGCGGATCATTTATGATGAAGAGGATGAGCTTCAAGAGAATGATTCAGAGTTCTTGCAGGGTGGAACCATGCAGTACCAGACACGAGATAGATCTTCCAAAGAACAGGGCTTTTTTCGAATAAGCCAATTCATTTGGGACCCCGTGGATCCACTCTTTTTCCTATTCAAATCGTGGAATATTTTTCGATAAAATTCACGGGGAAATTGAAAATGCTCGTTATCCTAGAACAAAAATTAGGCGAAAAAGCGATTAGAGAGAGTCCGTTGATGGGTTTTACTTGTTTTCTAGGTATATACCTAGAATTTCCTGTTTTGACTATATCGAACTATGTATCATTTGATAATCTAATGAATCTCTGATTCTTTGTTTGACCAAATAGACTTTTTTTGAATGGAGCAATATCAAGCATATTTAGAACTCCGTAGATCTCGATATCAGGACATCCTATACCCACTTTTTTTTTCGGGAATCTATTTATGGACTAGCTTATGGTCATGAGTCCTTTTTTATAGAAAATGTAGATTATAAAAATAAATTTAGTTTACTAATTGTAAAACGTTTAAGTACTCGAATATATCAACAGACGCATTTCATTATTTTTGCTAACGATTCTAACAAAAATTTTTTTGTGGGTTATAACTATAATTTGGATTCTCAAATAATATTAGAAGGTTTTGTTGTCCTCGTGGAGATTCTATTTTCTCTACAATTCTTTATCTCTTCCTTAAGGGGATTAGAAATTGTAAAATCTTATAAAAATTTGCAATCAATTCATTCCATTTTTCCCTTTTTCGAAGATAAACTGATATTTTTAAATCATAAGTCAGATATACGAGTACCCTATCCTATCCATCTAGAAATCTTGGTTCAAATCCTTCGATATTGGATAAAAGATGTCTCTTTATTTCATTTAATAAGGTTGCGGTTCATTCATTTGACCATATACTAGAGCTACTTTTGATTCTGCAATATTTTGTTCATTAATTACTCCAGATTCTTTCATTTCCATATAAAGATCATTTCCCTCACGAGTACGCTCACCTACTCCGCCAAATACAGATACACCTCCATGAGCTTTGGCAATGTTATTTATCAATTCCATAATCAGTACTGTTTTACCCACTCCAGCTCCACCGAAAAGTCCTATTTTTCCTCCACGACGATAAGGAGCTAAAAGATCTACTACTTTTATTCCTGTTTCAAAAATAGATAATTTTGTATCTAATTGTATAAAGGTAGGCGCAGATCTATGAATGGGAGATGTTGTACGAGTATCTACAGGACCTAAATTATCAATTGGCTCTCCAAGCACGTTGAAAATTCGTCCTAGAGTTGCTCCGCCTACTGGAACACTTAGGGGAGTTCCTGTGTCAATCACTTCCATTCCTCTCATTAGACCATCTGTAGCACTCATAGCTACAACTCTAACTCGATTATTTCCTAATAATTGCTGTACTTCACAAGTCACGTTAATTTGTTGACCAACAGTATCTCGACTCTTAACTACCAGAGCGTTGTAAATATTAGGCATCTTCCCTGGGGGAAAAGCTACATCTAGTACCGGACCAATTATTTGGGCAATATGTCCCAGCTTTTTTTTTTCAAGCGCAGAAACTTCAGGACCGGAAGTAGTAGGATTTATTCGCATATCAAAAGCCAATTTTTTTTCCGAAAGAGTTTTGAAATAAAAAATAAATGTTCAATAATAAAGCAAGTTGATCGGTTAATTCAATAATAAATAAGAAATGGGAGTTAGTACTCCATTTTTTTGGTACTATTCAACCAATCCACTTGAATTGTTTACTTATTCAATTTCAATTATTGAATTCTTAAGCTTACTCCAGTTATTTTGAAAATTGAAATTGGATAAAATCTTTCGAAAGTCTTTTCTTTTTTTCTATCATTCTAGATAATATCATCTATATTCTCTATGAAATTCGAACCTGCACCTTAATTTATAATTCATTTTTTTTCATTGGCTTTCGTATTTCATCAGTAGATAATTTTTTAGACTATTTTTTTTTACTTCTTTTTTCTTTTCTGGGGAGAAATCTGCCTATTTTTACATCTAGGATTTACATATACAACATATATCACTGTAAGGATAGGAGATTCCAATTTGAAAAAAAAAACAAAGATTGGGTTGCGCCATACATAGAAAAGAGTATACAATAATGATGTATTTGACAAATCAAATACCATCGTTTAATTTAAAAATAACGAACCTTTGGGATTAATTGATAATATTAGTTGATTATTGTAAAAGATTTCATTAACTCCTAAGTCATGTCGAGTAGACCTTATTGTTTCAAGAATTCTTAATTCATGAGTTGTAGGGAGGGATTTATGTCACCACAAACAGAGACTAAAGCAAGTGTTGGGTTCAAAGTCTGGTGTTAAAGATTATAAATTGACTTATTATACTCCCGACTATGAAACCAAAGATACCGATATCTTGGCAGCATTTCGAGTAACTCCTCAACCTGGAGTTCCACCTGAAGAAGCAGGTGCCGCGGTAGCCGCTGAATCTTCGACCGGTACATGGACAAGTGTGTGGACCGATGGGCTTACCAGCTCTTGATCGGTACAAAGGACGATGCTATCACATCGAGCCCGTTGCTGGGGAAGAAAATCAATATATTGCTTACGTAGCTTATCCCTTAGACCTTTTTGAAGAAGGTTCTGTTACTAACATGTTTACTTCTATTGTCGGTAATGTATTTGGGTTCAAGGCACTGCGTGCTCTACGTCTGGAGGATTTGCGAATCCCAACTTCTTATATTAAAACTTTCCAAGGTCCGCCTCATGGCATCCAAGTTGAGAGAGATAAATTGAACAAGTATGGTCGTCCCCTATTAGGATGTACTATTAAACCTAAATTGGGGTTATCCGCTAAGAATTATGGTAGAGCGGTTTATGAATGTCTTCGTGGGGGACTTGATTTTACCAAAGATGATGAAAATGTGAATTTCCAACCATTTATGCGTTGGAGAGACCGTTTCTTATTTTGTGCTGAAGCAATTTATAAAGCACAGGCTGAAACAAGTGAAATCAAAGGGTATTACTTGAATGCAACTGCGGGTACATGCGAAGAAATGATAAAAAGAGATGTATTTGCCAGAGAATTAAACACTGAACGGTTAAGAAAGTTAGGAACAGAGGGTGGGGTTTGAGAGACAAAACCTATCCTATTGTTATGCCTTGTCCAATAAGTATCTCTTTTTAAAAAAATATAATTTATGTACTCTTAGGATGACAAAATGAGTTAGACTCACTCGGCCAACCTTCTAGTATACTCGGTCAATCTCAAAAATGACCTAGTGGGTTGGAAGTTTTAACTTGTCGACCTATTTTAGCCCACTCCACCTAATCCACCAATATGATAGGCTATTTACACAATGGATTGATCCATTGACCGGTTTTTAAAACATATTTATATATTAAAATTAAAGCAATAAAAATTATATTTTTTTATGTTATATTATTAAAATATGTAAATACATTATAATATTTAATTTAAAATATAAATACTAATCAATTAAACTTAAATTATTAATTATAATTAGGTATTTTAATACAAAAATATTATAAATTTTTTAATTTATCTAATAAATATATTAATTAATGTATAAAAACTTAAAAATTATTCATACAATGAAAAGTATATTTAATATATAAAAAAATTGGCAAGTTGTTTGTTAGCTCTGTCTTACTTCGTTTTTTATGAATTAGAGGTAGATACATGGAAATGGTGTAAACTAATTTGTTTTACCATTTTTATATACTTTTAATAATTAGTTTTATAAATTTATATTATAATATTTTAATATTTAATCATTAAAATTAAATAAATAAATAATAGAAAAAATTAAGCATAGAATATTGTCCATGTTCTTCTTTCAGTTCAAAAATTTCAATGCTAAGAGAGTTAAATATTTTGATACAAATACCCACTTTCCTACCATTTATATGTATTTTGGAACTGAGTATAAGTTAGAATTGCATTAGATTGTTTTGATGTGGTAATGAGATTTTGATGCATAGTTGTTGCGTAAATAGGTTGGTATGTTGGGGTATTGGGATTGAAAATGCTTAAAATGTGTAAAACCTTTTTTATTTTGACCCTAGTTATTCAAACAAGGTGTTAGACGCTTGGGGAGATAGGTCAAACAATGAAAGATATGACCTAAACGGTGATGACTCACTCAAGCAAGAAGTTATCACTTAAGTGAACAACCATTCAATGACAATTCACTTAAACAAGAATTATGTCAGTTAAGTGAAAAGGTCACACAGGACTAAGAATTAATATTATAAATGTCTTGCTCAAGTGACACATGAGGCGCTCAAGTAAGATAATTGCAAAAGAGATAAAATTATATTAGCCTATATTTTGCTCAAACAACAAGTGGTTGCTCAAACAAAATACTAACAAGGAAACAAAATTGATTTTGTTTGTTAGTCGCTCAAGCGATCAGAATGGGGCTCTTGCAAAAACAAATAGAATGGATTATGTTCTAGAGGTTCTTTACTTATGCGAGGATGATAAAATAAAATGACCTTATCTTTCAAGTAATAAGAGATAACTTAAGTGAAGAAGAGACAAAATTAAAGAGGTTAATTACTAGAATTATGTCGATAAAGTGACAAAAAGATGCTCAAACAATATACCTCTCTTTGTAAATGAATTATGTGGTGTAGGAATAAGGGATTAAGACCCAAAGAATATTTGGGAACATGAGATTGAAAGTAATGAGGGAGAGATTGATGGAAATGTCCCTACATTCCCAAGAGATGATTTTGATGATGATTCAAGTAAACTACATTCAAGTCAACACCATTCAAGATGAATTAAGGACAAGCTGAATTTATGACGTTGGTGAAAATGTGAAACATTTTCCTACATGCCCAAGATATGTTTTTGATAAAGATGATGATTCAAGCAAGCCCAAGATGATTCCTGAAGACTAGATAGAGTCTTAGAATACTGGATATGGAGGTACAAGTTGATGAAGTAATATTATGCATAAGACTCCAAAGCATAAGTGTGATAAAGTTCATAACATAATATTTTTCACTGTCATAATCAATTATGATGCATCAGAAATGGAAAAATGATTTTCTCTATCATAATTGGTTATATTGGTAACATAATCAATTATGACAATTCAAATTTGAAAAATATATTTGTTTTGAAGAATAAATATTTCTCAATATATCCTGATTTTTATTCACGAAAATATTAATGTCCAACGACCATTTTTTGATGCTATTTTTCTATTTAATTAAGTTTTGATGAAAAATCAAAAATACATAATTACAGAATTCAAAAATACAATTTACATTCAATCAGTTTTGAGAAAAGAATTCTGAGAAAGACAACAGAGATATTTTACACCTTTTGAGAAAACCCTCTTTTCTACTGTCTTCTATGCTTTCATTGTTAATCACACTTGTTCTTGGAGATTGACATTCTACAGGCTTCTACAATTTGTTGTCTCCATTACCCAGGTGTGTCTGTTCTTATTTTTATTACCTTCATCCTTTTTGCATTGGTGGAAAAGGAGGTGTTTTTCATTCCTAGTGTGATTCTAGGGAGGTGTTCATCCTTAGTGAGATTCTAAGGAGGTGTTTTCATCCTTTGATTTGTTCAAAGGAGGTTTTCATCCCTAGTGTGATTCTAGGGAGGGGGTTCATCCTTAGTGGGATTCTAAGGAGGTGTTTTTCATCCTTTGATTTGTTCAGAGGAGGTGTTCATCCCTAGTGGGATTCTAGGGAGGTGTTCATCCTTAGTAGGTTTCTAAGGAGGTGATTGTCTTTTTAATTAGTTTACTTTTTATTGGTTCTTCTGCTGAGTTGATTGTAATTTGTAAAAACTGAATTTGAAAGATAGTGAATGAGGAGTCACTCTTGTGTTAAGAGTTGACTGGGAACTGGAGGTAGGGTTGACTATACCCGAACCAGTATAAATCTTTATGTGCTCTTCTCTTTCCCTTATTTCTTTCTCTTTTCTTGATTATATTATTGCTTCCGCTTTAACAAATTATTGACTCACAAATAAATTTTTAATTTGACATCTATTTTAATTTGTGCATCTATTCACCCCCCCTCTAGATGTCATTTTTCTAACAAGTGGTATCAGAGTTTGGTTAGATAAGATATTTCTAAACGATCTGTCAAGATGTCTATGCAGATCAGGTTTACAGGGAAGGAGCCTCAATAAATAGACCTCCACTATTTGAAGGTGAAGACTATCAGTTTTGGAAGGCGAGAATGGAAATATTTTTACAAATACTAGATTATGGTGTTTAGGATGTTGTACTCAATGGTCTTTACATTCCGAAGTGAACAACGGAGTCTGGAGTTGTTCCAAAGACTTTTGATCAATGGACGCTGGATGAAAACAAGCGTGCCCAATATGATGTAAGAGCCTGAAATGTTATTGTTTCTGCCTTAACTCGTAATGAATTTTTCAGGGTCTCACAATGCAAGATGGTAAAAGAAATATGGGACACTCTTGAAGTAACACATGAAGGAACAAATGAAGTAAAGCGAGCACGTAAGAACACACTCATCTAGGAGTATGAATTATTTCAAATGCAACAAAATGAAAGCATCACGAATTTCCAAACACGCTTCACACATATAGTAAATCACTTGAAAGCATTAGGAAAGAGTTTTGACAATGAGGAGTTGAACACAAAGATCTTGAAATCCTTAGACAGGAATTGGCAACCAAAGGTCAATCTATTACAGAATCAAAGGATCTCACAAAAATGAATATTGCTACCCTATTTGGAAAGCTGCAAGAACATGAGATGGAGCTACAAAGGTTAAAGAACGGTGAACAGAATCAAACCAAGATGATAGCTCTAAAAGCAGAAAAATCTTCACAAGACGAAAGTGAAAATGAAGGTAAGTTTTCGGATTCCGATATGTCTCTTTTTGTTAAACAATTTTCTCGCTTTATAAAGAACAGGAAAAAGAGACAGCAAAGAAAGGAGAAAACAAATAAATTTCATTGCTATGAATGTGGAAAACCTGGTCATATCAAACCAGATTGTCCAAAATTTAAGAAAAAGAAGAAAGATGTGAAAGAGAAGAAGAAAGAGAAGAACGATACCTATAAGAGCAAATACAAAACGTATATTGCTTGGGAGGATAATGATTCTTCCACAACACAAGAGAGTTCTTCCGAAAGCAGTGATGGAGAAGAAGAAGCAAATCTTTGCTTGATGACAAAAAGTGATGATGAAGCCTCATCACAGGTAAGTAGTACAAATTCCTTAAATGAATATGATGAGTTATTTAAAGAATACCAAGATATGTATGAAGGTTTTACCAAGTTATCTAAGAAATATAATGCACTTAGGCAAAAATTTAATGCATTAGAAAATACTGTTGGTATTCTTGAAAAAGAAAATGAGTGCTTAAAGAAAGATGTTGAGAAATCTAAAACTTTGTCTAAAAATAAAAAAGTTGTTAAACCTTGTGAAAATTGTAATCTTTTGGAAAATGAGATTTTCAAGTTAGAGAAAATAATAAGCAATTTTTCAAAATCTTCTGAAAATCTTGATTCGATATTAGGTTATCAAAGAGCAAATTTTAGCAAAGCTGGACTTGGTTACAAACCCAAAGAAAGTCTAGAACCTCATAAAACTATTTTTGTGAAAGAGTCAAGGAAAACAGATGTGAAACCAGTTTCAAAAACTTTAAGAAACACATTTAGACCTTTTCAAAGAAAACCAACATGTTTTTAGTGCATGAAATTAGGTCATACATCAAATAGATGTTACATAAAACATTTTGGCATATCTAATGACAAATATGAATGGGTGCCTAAAGGAACAAAGCATTTATACATGTCTAGATGATAATTTGAGCATCTAATTGATTATCAGAATCAGAAAATTTTTTCTTGTCTGTCATAATCAATTATGTTGAAAGTTTGAATTTTGAAAGTTTGAATTTATGAAAATTTGAAATTATTAAAGTTTGAAATTTTGCAATTTGAGATTTTTTTTAAATTTTGCAGTTTGAGATTTTTTTAAAAATTTTGCAGTTTGAGATTCTTGAAATTTGAAATTTTGCAATTTGAAATTTGAAAATTTTCAGTTTGATATTTTTTTAAAAATTTGCAGTATGAGAATTTTGAAGTTTGAAATTTTTCAAT